ATCATCATCATCATCATCATCATCATCATCATCATCATCATCATCATGAGTCCTGGGTCATTTGTTGCGGTTGCGCTTAGTATATCCATCTCCAGCAGTCACCCCTGAAAGATTCCCAGTGGTCAGGTCTCCTCCGCTCGCTGCCGGGCAGTTCTGCCGGCCTTCGGCCTTCTGCTGCTGGGACCTCAGCGAGGGGCGGGTGAAGGCGCAGAGGAACAGAGAACAACAGAGACATGGAGGTGTTTGCTTTTTTGTTCTCGAGGTTGTTTGATGTTGTTTGCGGAACCCAAAGCCAACACACAAACTCGTTAGACATACCAGTATATAATTGAATAACTTAAGGAAATTTGGAACCCAAGCGCATTTTGTTGTTTTTTTTTATGTGATCCAATTCCCTTTGGCTTTGTGGTGTCGCTGATCCATCACCTTACTCATCGACTTTCCAAATGGACCTTGGATTGATTCGGCCACTTTTTGAACTGCCCCGAGTCAGGGTCATCTTCCGGTTCCAGAACAAACGGCATTTTACGTTGTCCTTAATATGGGGTCCCCATCAACCATCATTCGCCACTGTTGAGGCAGGGTCCACTGAAAGGGTGTGTCCTCACCGGGCTCATACGACTGGTTGTTGAGTTGATCACAGTGGGATAGAATCACAGTGGGATAGAGACCTCATGATTTAGATTTAAAAATACAAGAGGTCACAAACTGATCGTTTGATCACCTGTATCAGAATGTTGATGGTTCTTTGAAACATTTGTATGTCTTTGTCCCAATGGCACGTTTGGTTTGCTTTCGTGGACATAGGGAAAAGTATGGAAAAGCACATTGACATGGATGGTTCTGACGGTCAAGACGAAGAGACAGTCTTCCAGTGCTCGTGGTCAGCAGAGTGAACCAGCTCCGACTCTTCTAACGCTACCGAACTTGGAAAAGAATCGAACGGCTTAAGGTTCACTGTTGACATTGCTATGGTCTTCCAACATCATATTGGGTAATTTAGAGTTTTATATATAGACAAATGCCCAATCAAATAACGTCCACCATCATGCAGGAAGCTTTCAGTCTTGGTGTCTATCACCCTTACTTTTCTTTGCAGGATGAGGGGCGAGTGCTCTACCACCAGGGCTCCTTTCATTCTTTTCTTCGTGCCTCGCACTGGTGATCTTCTGCCTGTTGGAATGCGTGGTCTATCTCCCGTTTTGCTTGCGCATTCAGTTGAAGGAACTTCTGGTCTCGTGCTGAATTCTTTGCCGATGCACATGAAAATGCCTCTCCGACGGTCTCCAATCATAGAGACCTAGATGAAACTCATGGAGGAGAGGTGGCCTAGATGAAGCTCATGCTTTCAAATTGGACAGGCCGGTCTCTGAGCGTGGCACCTCTAGCACCTGGAACTCTTAGAATTGGTGCCAGGGGATTAATCCTGGGATGTGCTGCCAGGATTGGTGTTGATGGATTCAGTGTAGACTTCATGGTCAAATCGATTGGAGGACCAGCCCGCAAGACCTCGCGCAGGCAAAACCCTCA